TGGGATATAGAAATACAGTTGATTTTTGTATATTTACCTTTCATCCAAACTAATTTCCCTTATTAGTGCTAGGAACCTTTTTCTTAACAGGAAAAAATTTATTTATTTTTTAGGATTTTTATTTCAAAATATTAAGGGACACAAATGTTTTTGTTACATGGCTTGAGTCAGGGCTATAATGTGTCCAGCACCTGAATAACGTTCGTTGTATCCATTAGGTGGGGTTTTGTCCTTCCTCTCCTCCTTCCTCCCCCCTGCTTGATTTCCAATGACTTTTACTTCCCTCTAGTGCACTTATGTGTTCTTTGCTAATTTCCAATTTATTAGAGAGTACATGTGGTGTTTGTTTTTCCATTCTTGATATACTTTGCTTAGGATGATTTTGGTTTTCATAGATTCTTTGGGATTTTCTGTGGAGATAGTCATGTTTTCTGGGAATAGACAGTTTTTTTCTTTCTTTCTTTCCAATGTTTGTGGCTTTCCTTTCTTTTTCTTGCCTCTTGCACTGGCTGGGACTTCCAGTGTGACATGTAGGGAGAGAGGTGCGAGCAGACTTCCTTGCCTTGTCCCGATCTTAGAGGGAAGGTATGTAGTCTTTCACCATTAAGTATGATGTTATACGTCTCTTTAATAGCTGTCATTTATCCAATTAAGGATGTTTATTTCTCTTCCTCGTTTGCTGAGAGATTTTATTAGACAATGCGTTTTAAGGCTATTTGGAAAACAGCCAAGATACTAATGTCTACCTTAATGAATATTGACAAAAATAAATAATCCATTTCATGGTACCACTAATGCAAGAATTTCGTGTCATTATAATGCTTTTAACCTCCCACTTTTATTTAAACTGATTGCATTTTCAAAATTTTTAAAAAACACCTTGTACCTTTCCAAACTGCACCTGTCATTCCCATCCATGGTCCCCTGGGGGGGGGGGCAGGCGTGTGCTGACATGGGGGGTCCCTGTTCTCTCGGTACTCACTTCTCAGCAGGTGCCTCTCCACCTTGGGGACCTGCCCCAAACGATCCTTCTCTTTCCCTCTTCCAGCTCATCTCCTGCAATTTTTCAAAGTCTTTTCCCTTCTATCCCTATCTCCCTCCATATTCTTTCTTTATATATATCCCTTCTGTTAAGCACAGAGCCCTGCTTGAGATGTAAGAAACTCATGGAAGCTCCATGTCCTTGGCCAGGTTTTCCATTTTTTTCTGTTCATGTTGCTGGTGAGGTTTGTCTCTCGGCTTTGGGTTCTCTATACGCTTGCTGCAATACTATGACTGTTTCTTAGAAGCTCTGCTAAGATGTGCTGTGAGCTCTGTTAATGCTAAGGTGTTATTGAAATTCTGACCCTAAAGAGATTCTGATGCATGAAAGCTTGTTAAACATAATGCAAATGTTTTCATTAAACTTGGCTTTTTGTAACCTAGAATTTACTCCTTTACTTCTAAATTCTTAACTGAAAAGTATTTATATCCCTGGGGAATGTTTTCATTCCTTCAGAAATGACTTACTAATTGTTCGCACACACAGTAGATCGCTGATAAAAATGGAAGAATTTATTACATTCGAGGGGGAGCATGGAGAGAAGACAGCTAACATTTTTACATGCTTGTTTATACCAGACTCTGGACATCATTATCTCGGTGAGAATACTTACAGCCCCTCCTGGATGTGAGAATTAGCCTCTCCAGTTTCACACACGAGGATACTAAGGCTGAGAGGAACCAAGGGACTCACCCACGGCCATTCAGCTTGTCAGGGACAAGAGCCAGTGACCAAGCCCTGGTCACACTTGTTTGCAAGAGGTATAGAAAATACTGAAAAAGCTACACAAGAGGGAGGCTCATCTCTGATTGAAGAGACACAGGGAAGATAGGCTTCATGTTTTTTAACAGGCTATTGGGGGATGTTTGTGATTTCCCCAAAGCAGCATGCGTCTGATGTTTGAAGACAGACGTCCCATTGCTGTGTGTAATTCCCAGCTCTTCCCTGCAGGCTCCTTTGTAGACAGGTCTCCTTCCCACGTCTGGAGGAAGCCTTTCTTTCGAAGTGCTCATTCTTCTGTTTGTGGTCGCTAACTACTCGCACACTCCCTGTATCGGTATGTGAGGGACCGTGGTGAATGCCCTTTGAAAATCAAGGATGAGAGGAGATGTCCTGTATCCCGGTGTGTTGTGAAGTCCTCATCCTGTGCATCAGGGCAGCCGAGATAATGCCCCTGGGAGCTGGCGCCCTAGTGTGTGACCAGGACTGTAAGGAGAGGTAGGACCCTGAGCAACACCACCGAGTTCAGATCCCGACTTCTCCACTGGTCGTGCAGCTAAAGCGAATCGATACACACTCAGTACCAGCTATGATTGGATATCCAAAAACCCCAAGTCAGTATTAATAGGAAGAAGAGCAAGAGAGGGGCGGCCTCGCGGTCTTTTAGAAAACCTGATAAGGAAAGTAGGGATGGAGTAGCCTTGGTCCACAGAGGCCCCTTGAGAGGGTCTGCCATGTTCAAAGCCACAAAGGATGTGTCTTCCCTAAATTGGCAGTCTATTTACATGGGAAAAGAACGGACCGACAGAGTCTTAGAGAGGATCACACAAGTCAGCCTGGATGCCTGCAGTCCGAGTTCAGCTAGAGAAGCAACGTCAATCAATGGCGGGGGGCGCGTGGGGGGGTGGTGTCAGCCAGCCTTTCCCAGCCAGGTGCCCTGGTCCTCAGAGATCAGAAGTGGCTGCAATGCAGACACCTGACTGGCTTCCTCTGAATCTTCTTTAAGCCCTGGGCTCCTGGGGCTAAGAGCGCCTCTTTTTAAATTTTTAAGTGAAAACGGTACATAAACTTGGGAAAAGGGAGGAAGGAAGAAAAGGAGTATAAAGAGTTTTAAACCAAATGTAAGTCTCCCTCACTCTCCACGTCTGTTTCCCAGATTTAACCAGAGTTAACAGTTTTCTCTGAATCTTTGGAAAAGGTCTATCCATAATACATGAATATACGTAAGGCTTTTAAAAATTTATATGTGATTTTACTCCTCCGTGCCTTACGTTTTTACTTAATATATATTAAAGATCTTCCCATAGCATCAATATAGATCACCTTTCTCTCATCCTTTTATTCACTGACTTTATTAGGATTAAATATAAAAACATTTCAGTGATATATTGGAATTCTGGACTCTAATACATCTCACAGTGTAACTGAAAATAAATGACGTGAACCTTGGCAGAATCACAAGGAGAGATGGATTGGTATACAATTACAGTGACGACTTAACCAATTCTCTCAGAAACTAATATAGATCAACAGGCCAAAAGGAAAGAATAATGATACAGGAGATTTGAACTGCAGTGTTAATAAATTTGATTGAGTGGAAATACGCGGTCTGGGCATTGCAGAACTCAATATTCAGCAATTAGAGAACGCATGTTTTTTGCAAGCTCACATGGGAGATTCAGAGAACACGGCACACACTTGGCTGTAAAGGAAATCTCAATAATAGTCATCTCCTTGTACTTGTCATTTCTGACAAAGAGTTTTGTCTTTTTTTTTCTCAGTTTCTTTCCCGAGTTCTGTCGGTTCCTATTTCACAGCTGTCTATTTTAGGACTGTCTAGACTCTGAATGTCTTTGTTTCTGCTTCCTGGCCTTTATTACCTGTAATTGCTTCGTAGGGACTTCTTTGCTTTCTTTTTAATTCGTGATGGAACATTGGGTGCAACTTTCATGTGCTTATGCAGCATTTTTCAGGTGAGTCTTCAGCATCCCTAGGGAAGGTGAGCAGCTCCTTTTCCTCATTTTTCTTGTGCTGTCTTTGCCTGGCACCAGCACGTTCCTCGGGTCTCACGTGGTGCTGGAAGTACATCCTTTCCCTGTTGCTTTCTCAGTAACGCCTGGTACCATCCGATACAGATGGGTGCGCGTCTGTAGTTCACGCGACAAATTGGCTGGCTGCTCGGTGGAGAGGGAGCGGTTTGTGTCTCTTTAGCTCACAGCTCGTCCCCAGTAACTAAATCAGTGCCTTTTACATAGTCGGCACTCAATACATATTTGTTGACTGAACTGCCATAGAGAGGCTCAAAGAAACAGATGTGGAATTGAATGGGTCATTTTAAAATCCATTTATTAAAAGCTTTTTAAGACATTATTACAGGAAGTGTGGGAGCCAGCAATCTAGAGGGGGCGGGTGGTGGTTGCCCACACTCTTTCCAACTCTTTGTCCAAATAATCATTTCCATTCTGAGTCCCGTGAGCGGAAGGGAATGTACTTAACTGTGGCATGTGGAGTCCTTGTGCCCTCATACGTTGGTTGGAACATAAAGTGCCTCTTCCTCTGTAGAGAGCATTGGGAGAGATGCCCATGTCAATCGCTCTAGCCATTCAGCGTCTAAGGATTTTTTCCTGTAAAGTTGCTCACACAGTCTGCGAGGCCGTGTGTATGGTAAGAAAAACTTAAAATAGCCATTGGTGTGGGGCTAGCGTTCAAAGCTGGGTCCACACGTCACAAGGGTACACAGGATGTGCTGTTGAGCTGGGGGAGAAAAGTTACAACAATCTGTATTCAGCATTCTTTTTTTTTTTCGTAGAGATGGGATCTCACTATGTTGCCCAGGCTGGCCTCGAATTCCTGGCCTCCAGCCAGCCTCAGCCTCCCAAAGTGCTGGGATTATAGGCATGAGCCACTGTTAGGGGCCTATATTTAGCCTTTGTTGAAATAAAAGATAGAAATTAAGCTTCACTAATATTTACCATCAGGATCGACTGTACACCACTGACTGCACACTCAGCAACGTGGGGCAGTGGCCACGGAGATGGTGAACCTCCAAGGTATCCTGGGGAAGGACAGGAGTCTTTCAACTCAAAGGGACAGACAGAGGCACTCGCCCCACTTGTTGATTTGCTTTTAGCGCGTGCTGGGTAGAGTGGATTTCTAGGTTCTTTTCTTTCTTAATTTTATGTTAGTAGATAGGTAAGCAGCGTCTGGCCATCTCAGGACCTGACCCTCACTTTTCCAGGGACACCCTGGCGGAAGGAGCAGACGGAGGACCTGCAGCGGGTGCTCGGGGCGGTCGACCGGGAGATCCCCCTGGTTCTCGTCAGCGGTAACCACGATGTGGGCAACGTCCCCACAGCCGAGACCGTCGAGGAGTTCTGCCAGACGTGGGGGGACGACTACTTCAGCTTCTGGGTCGGGGGCGTCCTCTTCCTGGTCCTCAACTCCCAGTTCTTGTACGACGCCTCCAGGTGCCCTGCCCTGAAGCAGGCCCAGGACCAGTGGCTGGACCAGCAGCTGAGGGTGGCGGAGCAGCGGCACTGCCAGCACGCCGTTGTCTTCCAGCACATCCCGCTGTTCCTGCAGAGCATCGACGAAGACGACGACTACTTCAACCTCGCCAAGGCCGTGCGGAAGGAGATGGCAGACAAGTTCACCAAAGCAGGTAGCAGCCCCAGGGCCACAGGTGTCTGGGTGGAAGGGCGGTCTGGAGAGCGGGTTTCCAGGCCCTTCTCCGGCCCCTCTGCAACCTGGCAAAGGGGAAAGAGGATGGGGCTGTGGGTTCTGAACCCAGCTCTTCCACTCCCTGGCTGCCTCATCCTTCTGAGCCTCAGTTTCCTAATCTATGCAATGGGAGCAGTAGTAGCGGCTCTCTAATAGGATGGTTGTCGGGAATAAATGTGAAAAGCTCTATGAAGCACGAAGAACAGCCCCTAGCCCACCAAGTACATCACATGTGGTAGCTGCTCACAGTTGAAGGTAGGAGTCCCGGAAGTGGGAGGTCCTTGCAGGGGGCAGGTGGATGTGAATGTGGCTGCATGTGCCTTGGGAGAAGGGAAGATGTCTCTGGTGGGGCATCTTTCCTCATTTCTCTGGGCAGCAGGAACTTGCTGAAGGACAGATGACCTTTAAGAGCCAGGCTTCCCACCAGTATGAGACAGCCGACGGAAATCCTGGGATGTGGCTTTCATGGGCAGGTCCTGGGGCCTTGGCAGTTTTCCCCGAGTGAGTGGATTAAGTTCTCTTCCAGAATCAGGAGACAGAAATATATTTAGTTCATCTTACCCTGCTGTAGTTTTTTAGTTGATCATACGTGGGACATGCATGCACACACACAGAATGAAGACCACCCCATTCGGGGAGGTGAGACCTCCACTTCTGACAGCACGCTCTGTGATACTATCCCAACACCTCCTCTGTGCTCCTGGCAGTACCTCCCTTTCTGGGTTACTGGTGATTTGACGGGATTCCAATGTTGATACCTGTTGTGACTCTTATTTCGGTCCTAATTCCTCCTTTCAGATCTTTCCAGGGCTTCGTAGTATCAAACACTTCTAAAGTTTAAATATATTCATTTATTTGTTATGGGGTACAGGGAGAGAGGTGGCTTGACCCAGTAGCAAGTATTCATTTAAAAAAAAAAAGGGATTCCGATCCTCTTCTTTTCATCTTTGCATGTTAAATGTGTTTGTATTTGCTTGAGTAAAGTACAGTAGACCCTTCTGTATTTTTGAGACATTTTACAAAAACCGCTCACATAATTGGAGACGTTTTCCAAGTGTTCCATGGAGATGAACTTAGAAAACTTCTATTAAGACCTTTGAAATTTCATGCCATGCTTGAGTTGGTGCAGAAAAATGTTCTGATGACAAGGAAACAAAGTGTCAAGACAGCATCAGTGCCATCATGGAGATTATTTTGTAACAGAGAATAAAGCCAGAGAGAACATTGAATGCCACCAAAATGATTCCTTTCACATCAAATGTCAAATGATGCAAATGCCATCCCAGTGACTGCTCTCTGCTCTGCCAGCCACGTTCCTGAGTGGCCTGTGGTTCTGGATTTCCTCATCGTAGGACAGAGCACCCCCAGATAGGAGAAGAGGCCCAGATATCCGGGGTGCACCAGCCCCTGCCCGCCCACTCAGCACTGCAGCCCTGCAAGCTCAGGAGCCTGAGCTGCCAGCACACCCAGAGCCGGTCTGTGTGTCTGCAGGTGAGCTCCAATTACCCCAGCTCAGCGACTGATTTCTACAACCAGAATGCCAGCTGATTAGTTTAAAGCAAGCCCGAAGCCCTCCCCACTGCCCTGGTAGCGCAGTCTCTTCCCGTAGGCAGAGCTACATGGGAAGCCAAATTATAATCAGGAGGTTGCTTGGTAGGCCTGAGACAGAGCAGGGGTTAGTGACCTGGTTCCACTCTTAACGGCATCAGGCTCTGGAATCCTGATGCCTCCATCTCCATTCGGAGCCCCCTTGCAGGGGTAGTAGGGGTGGGGGCACTCGGATATCCCAAGGCCCTTTAATTATACCTTCTCCACATCTCTCCAGCCCATCCACTTCCTCAGGCCCCCACTGCCTTGTCCGGGTCCTGGCAGCAGTTCGGTGCTGGACTCCCTGCCCCACTCTTGCTCATTCTAGTCCGCTGTCTACCTGGCAGCCAGGGGGCATGAGCTGCACAACCTGAACCCTCTGGAGGCTCCCCTCACCCCCAGGTAAGGCCCAGCTCTTCGCTGTCCCACCCAGTGCCTTCCTCCCCAGCCTCCACCGTGTCACCTGGCCCAGCCCCACTTTGGTACCTCTTTTGTATGAGGTTCTCCCCCCGTCCTGGGTTCTTCCTCAGTTCTGGCACTTGTCAAACAGATTTACAGGCATTGACAGGTCTGGATCCCTCATTAGAATCTCGGCTCCCTGAGGACAAGGACAGGGTTATGTTCATCTCTGCATTCAGGAGGCCTGGCTCAGGCATTTGCTCACATTAAATGCTTCATTAGTGTTTGTGGAATGAGTGAAGGAGTGAAAGTCTTTGACTCACTCACGCTCCTGCCCTCGGTGGCTGACTAACTCAGCTCATTGGTCTGTTTAGCAACGCTGTCTGGGTGCCAGCACAGGGCAGAGCAAGTCCCAGACCCACCAGGCTCCCAACACGTGGCCTCCAGGTCCTCCGCTTGTGTGTCTCCCTGCTCCAGTCCCTGTGCTGGCTCTCCAGGGTCACTCAGCGGTCTGTCTCTCTTCCCAAGCATCCCCTCCCTTCTGTCTCCCGCAGCCACCTCCGTCAGGTATTAGAAGGTGCCTCTTCTTGGCCACTGTCCAAAGGGTCTTCCCCAGGGAGACGGGAGCCCTCCCTGCAGTCACCTGTCAGTGTCAGTAGCTTGCCAAACCAGACCCTTCGCTTAATGGCCTCTCAAACACAGGACAAACCCTGGGCAGCATCCGAAAGGATCCGCACCAGTTGTGGACACGGCTCCTTCTCGGGCTGAGCGCAGATAGGTGGGCTCTCATGGGGCCTGTGCACATCCATGACTCAGTAATGCAGAGAACGGCTTGGGTCACAGCAGTGTAATTGGAACTCATTTCAGAAAGCCAGAAGTTCAAGTGGTATTTTGTAAAAATCATTAACTTGAAGACTGGGATGAAATTGGGGGTGATGATGGCAGATGGTATTTAATATTGCCTCCTGCTCCCCCCCACCCACAGGAATATTATTCCCTAATACTATTTCAGTCTCATTTGTTGCCTTTGCTGAAATGCCAGTACTCAAAAATATGTCAAAAGCTCATCAGGATATCAGGGTAGCTTTTAATTATGATAATTGTGTTGTTATAAAATATCCTTGTAAAGAGCACATCCCTCCCCAAACCACCATGGAGGTAGAACCCAGCTTCCCTCCAGCAAGCTCAGTGAATAATTCTGAATCATTGTGTGGGATGAATAAATGATTCAGTAATGAGCATCAACAATCATCTCCCATTGTTGCATTAATTTTTGCAAAATGGGATGAGGTACAGGAGGAGGGAGGGGTGTCACTATACGGTGGGCCACCGTGAGCGTGAGGATGCCTTCTGTGAATCAAAACCCACGAGCTTCTAAGCACAGGTTTCCCTAGAAACGGATGCATCCTGTTTCTACTTTGGAAGCTCAATAAAAACCCTTCTTTGTGTGACACAAAACCGTTGTCAATAGCTGGTACAAATAAACAGCTATCAGGGCAGGACAAGACACCCAGATGTGAAGCGGCACCCATCATTTTCTGTCTTCTTTTGCTCCGCCTGAGGATAATCAATTTCATCACATCCAAGGGATGCAGAAATTGGTTTTCCCCTTAATTCACCTGATACCTAGTTGGAGTTGCAAAGACAGGTAGTAGATAATAAAATCTTACTTGAGCCTAGACATTCTCTCCGTCCCTCCTGCCTCTTTGAGCAAGAAGGTTAATATGTGACCCAGTTAATACAGGTTCCAATTTAAAAACTCAAGTCTTAAAAAACAAGTCTAGCTCTTTAAATGACCACGTTTCCCTTGATATCTCAATACCTTTTCTTTTTTCCATTCTCAACATCAGAGATTAGAACTGTGCATTACAAAGCCCAGAGCAAATTTGGCAATTATGAAAAATTTCAATAAGTTGATCTTCCCTGTAAAAGTTAATGAGTAATTTCACAGAATTAGAGTTTCACCTCTAGTGTTTATGCTTTTTTTAAAAAAAAATGAGAGAGAGAGATCTTAGCCCGTGGTTATGGTTTTAGAATTTCAAAGTTTTAAAGAACAAAAAGGTCAAGTTTCCAGGGTCTACTTTATAGGAAGAGTAAAACATTAAATCCTACTCTAACATCTTATTCAGTTGTACTGAAATTATTAGTTTACGCCCTGACTCCTCCAGGAAAAAGGGGCCCAGCTTTATTAACTTGTGTGAGCCCAGGCCCTAGGCGGGACTGTCACAGAGGAGCCCCTTGGAAAATAAATATTGGTTAAATGGAACTGAATCAAGCTTGATTCAAATCTACTTATCATCACAATCATAGGTAATGTCTGTGTCACCTATGGATTGGTGTTTACCAACTGACTTTCTGATGGAAAATACATTGCCTAGAGCAGGGTCCGCAAGCTTTTCCTGTAAAAGGTCAAATAGTAAGCATTTTGTGCTTAGCAACAACCCAGCCTTTGTAGCTGGAGACAACACACAAACAACTGGGTGTGGCCACACCCCAAGAAAACTTAATTACAACAACTGGTGGTGGACCTGCAGGCTAGTTTTCCAACCCTTGGCTTAAAAAAATATTCCCATTAGGGTATGATGCTCTTGCTCTCCCCAGCCTTGACTGCGTCATGTATATGTCTAATTCTAAGATGCTGCTGGTGACCCTCTTGTGCCTGACTCACTGAAGGGTCTGCCCAGAGCAAGCCACCTCTGGTTCCTCCGTGGAGGGTGTGCGTGGGGGAGGCACACGTTCCCCCCACCCCCAGGGCCCAGAATGTGATCTGAGGGTGGAGGTTGCATGGAAAGTATTAGACTTAAAATGTCTAATACTTGGGTGCTTGATTTAACATGTATTGGAAAAATTATGACTAGTTCATCGACTTAAAAATATTAAGTATATAATAGTATGGGTAGTATGCAGATGAGGCAAAACTTCTGGAGACAGTAAGGACAGGGTGCTGGTATCTGG